CCTCCCCGGCTTCAAACTGCTACCTCCATCCATGTAAGATCTCAGCTCCTTTCCGCACAGTAACACCAAAGGGGACTTCGTTATGATCCTAAACCATCAACCCTGATCCGCGCCCCTACTCGCTCACTCTCTTCCTTTTCATTCCTGCCTCCGCCTCTCCACACCTATCTCCTACCATCTCAAACCCGGTAAACAAAGTCGAGCACTAGTAATTTCTAAATTAGAAGCGGACCATTCAGTACCTGCGCCCTGTCCCAGTCGCCATTGGGATACTCGAGCCTTTTATGGTCAGTACTCCAGCCGATTAGGTCGAAATCTGGCAGCTCCACTTTTTCCATCATCGTGACTGGTGAGTCGTGCCAGACCAGGCGCACCTCGTCTGTGTTGAACGAGTAACTCTCAAAAACCAGCTGGCAGTGTATCCAGTCAAACGGGAACATTTTCAAATCCATTTTGCAAGGAGCCTTCACTTTGAGCCTGCAAATAAGTTAGCACTTCCAAAAGTGACCTTGTGCCTGAGATCGGAAAAAAGACTGCCTGGGCAGCGGAGTGGAAAACGAAGTTAGAGCGACGGCGCATGGCAGGGATACCTGATGTGAAGGAATAGTTTGCTGATGCTTCGAAGCTGACCTGAAATTACTCCAAAGCAATCCATGCTCATAGAGGATAATGAAAGTATTCTCGGACGGTGAGCTGTGCACTGCAGCCTCCTTACTGTTGATAATACACGTGTCTGGAGTCCAAATTTTTTTCCGAAAATCACTTTTCAGCGTGATGTTTGTCGTGCAAACGTTTAAATGCTTGAAGCTGAGCCGCGGATCTTCCCAGATTTCGCTGTACATAAAATCCAGTTCAAAATCACCAGTTATTTCAGAGATTCCAGATACACCCTTAAAAAAGTGCTTTTTTAAGTTTCTTATAGTGTGCGTTGAGAAAAATCTGTCGGAGCCTGCAAAAATTTCTCATGAAAAGGACTTATTTGGCAAAAAGACTTATAAACTGCCGAATGGATGTGCTGTGAAAATGTGAAACAGTCATTATTAAACATTACTCTATTAAATACTAGCCTGTAGTCATTATTAAATACTACTAACCTAACAGAAGAATATAGTAATAATGGAAAAAGAAACAGGAAAACTGGTTATATAATATTACTTAAGTGGCCTAATAATAAATTGGAAAAGATGCAAATATAAAATTCCACAGAGTTAAAATATTTAGCATATCGGTACGACTGTGCTGCTGAATTACCTGCACGTGCAATTCAATGGTGACATTAACGCCATCCGCCATTGGTAACAGATGAATGTCATAATCATTGAGCAGCACATTGATTATGCGACCAAAATTCATCGAATTCCTAAAATTCAAGCTTTTTTTCAATGAAAAGACATGAAGCATAACCCGACTACAGCTTATATTATCACAAATAGATGCTGCCCCTCAGCGCGTCTGGTATAGGCAGTCAAAGCCCGCCTAATTCAAATATTTATTTCTGTTGAACATCGTTTGTCATTCTTTTCATTGTCGGAAGATTAAATATTAGATTTAAAAGCCATGCTTTGTATGAAATTTAAACACAGGCTAGAACGCACCAGGCCTGCCACCGGGATCATGCCTTTTTGTAATAAACCTGAAGTAATTAGGTCGTTAACTGTATGAATGGTTGCTACTTTTATTTAAATTATATATTCATTAGCTAATCAAAGTAAGTTTTGCATGAAGGAAAATGAACAACTTTTGGTCAATCGAACGTTCCTTGAGATTAACCTAGCTGTTCAATTAACGGATTTCCAGGAGATTTTCGTGCTCGTGCGTGAGAACCACGCATACCTGGAGGCTGAGTTCGAAATCTTTAAGTTTTACGTAGGCGCGGAACATCCTTTAAAATTTAGTAGCTTTTCAGCTTTCGTGGCTCCAGAGTTAGCTATATTTCCCAAAACCTTCAGATGCCCGCAAGCAGGGCCCAGTCGCGCATTTAGGGTGATGGAGTGGACCTGGGATGCACTTGATCGGGGAACCCATCAGCAAAATTTCGGTGCCGAAGCTTGCTTGGTTGTCAAGCTGATCCACAGGATAAACACAGACACACACACACACACATACATACACATGCGCGCACACACACACACAAATATACATGCACACACACCAAGGGCCGTCACAG